AATAGAAACCATCCTGTCGGGATTCAGAAAGACCGGAATAATTCTAACTGGAACTGATGCTGAGTCTGACGACAGCGGCACAGAAGAGGAAGTGATGCTCCGTTTACCTCTGGAGGTCGTGGAGTTGCTCAGAAGTGACACCGAGGATGAAGAATTGAATGGATTTAGTGATTTGGAGTGAGATGGAGAGTTTGGTAAACTTGTTCTGTTGTTTATGTTATAGTTTATCTGAAGAACTGTTCATATGCAGTGTAGGGAAAGATGCCTGTTCAGGGCCTGCTTCCCCCATTCTGAAGAATCCACAAACCAGGAACCTAGAGAAGAAGGTTCTGCTTGACTGCCTCTTGGTATTTAAACCTCAAGAGAACCGACCTTCGGTGCTTCCAACCTCTCTTCCCCACGAGGTGGGACTAATCAGAATGGGAATTGACATAGTGATAAGGACTGTTAAATAATGACTTTCTTCATTGTGCTTTGAAGAAACAGACCCACATCATCTACATACCAGACCATCAGGCGCCAAGGTTTGGACCGGTTAAAACGCGATGGACTGTGGTTGCCACTTTTGGACACTAGAGAAGGACTGAATTAAACGCATTCAATAACTAGTTAAAGATGTTTAACTGTGTCCTATATAAGGCTCATGTTGATACAAGACAAGTATGCCACTTTAATTCATGTGTTCATAGTCTCTTGTGTGTATTTCATGTAATGTTCCCACGGAAGTATTTACGGTAACTTCACGGCGTGTTTTCAGACAGATATACTTTGATTTATTTCTATGAATCGTTGGCTAATGTTATCATAAACAGTTAGTACCTGAATGTGGGAAGTTATCAATTTAATATTTGCAAATGATATTTGTACGAGGACCAGTTCAGCTCAGACGCGGGCGTGCCTTAAATTTGCATATAACAACGCCCACCAAGCGCACTGACCAAAACGAAGCCTCACGCGCGAAAACCGGGCTTTTCGCTTCGCTTCGCATCAGGCTTTTTCCACTACGCATCGCGTACCAGGACCAGGGAAGACGGCCGGTCGGACAGACCCAGGGGGAGCTTAACAGACCTGGAGTCGCACCTGCCGAGAGCTGAGGACCAGAGCCGGTGAAGGAGGCGTGGACCGCCCTGCCCGAGTACCATCATCACGCCGCTGCCTGCCCGTGCGCACGACCACCGCCGAACCCCGCCATCGCCGCATTCCACACGGACCGAGAACAACATCGCCAAGTCAGGCTGGTTCAGACAGTGAATGAATAAGGGTTGGCATCCCTCTTACGATTGCGTCCAATTATTCCTAAGGCAAGCGCAGTAGCGACTTAGCGAAACGCCATAACTGAGCTAAACTGAACCCCGTTTTATAACTACCTCAGGTTATTAAAATCGGTGCTTTTAATGTTACGTAACCAGAACTTGGAAGCTGGTGTCTAGTTATTGTTTGTTAATAAACCACACAAAGGAATTTGCTGGTTTCAGTGATTTTTCTTAAAGTTATCATCAGGTCACTTTTTCGGGTACGTTCCCTTCAGATTGATTTAATTGATAAGTTGTTGTTGTCGCATATGTAAGTTTGATTCGGTCAGAATCTGGTGCCCTGCAATGTATAATTTCAATAATTCGTCAAAAGCTAAACCACATGCTCAAACACGCACATCTTACAACACGTTAAACGCATTTTCTCCTACAGCAGTGTTGCCATAGTTACTTTGAAACACTAATCTGACTACCGATTACTTCTTTAAAAAGTAACTTAGTTAAGTTACTGACTACTTGCTTTTAAAAGTAACTTTAAGTAGTTACTGTTTTCTTTGCACCAGTTGGGAGCTGCTCTGTTAACGTGGTTGTGCCGTGCTGTGTCTCCAGATGTTTCTTTAGGTTTCATGTTGTTTTTTTGAAGGCAGACAACACTTTGTCGCCAGCACAGAGTGAACAACGAACCTTTATGTCACCATCCTTAGCTAAAATAAAATCAAAATAATGTTTGTATTTCCAGCTGTAAAAGTCGTACTTCTCTCCCTCCAGTGTTTACATCTGACTCGTGACGGAGCGGAGACGACGTAACATCACAGGAAACGTGTCACCGGAGACAATTTATACGATCTTTGGGGTCACATAACCCACGTCGCCAAAAAAGAAAAATAAATAAATAACCTGCATTGCCCTGAAATGCAAAAATAGTAACGCACAGTGTATTAAATAGGTAAATTAAATCTGACTACTGGTTTGGAAATAGCACTACGTTAGACGACTCGTTACTGAAAAAAGTAGTCGGACTACAGTAACTCTAATTACTAAGTAGTGCGTTAGTGGCATCAGTGTTCATATGTGACGTTAACAACCTGTTGTTCTCTGTTCTATTGTTATTACTAGAACTTGTCTTTCAAGATAAAATGTCGGTTTCTGGTCTCTGATTTTATAAAATATATTTCCCCTAAAAAGTGCTACTTATATGTTTTTTCTTCTCCATTACACATTTTTTGGCTGGTGCGATTTATACTCCAGAGCGACTTATTAGTCCAGAAAATACAGTAGTGGTAGAATGACTCAAATTTGCCTCAGTTTGCTGTGAAAAGTTCTGCTTATGGTCATTTGGGTCAGCACGAGGCCTGAGTGTTTGGACGCCCCCGGTCTCTATCTTTTTACCATATTTTTTGAGTATTGATACTTTGCAGCTGATATGAAGCGAACAGAAAGCACTACTCTGTCTGAAGCTTTGTTACTCAAGTTAGACTTTAATCTGAGCTTCATTTTAACACAATCTGACCAAAAAGAGCCTTGACTTGGTTGAAACTACAACAGTTGAGATGATTTGTTAGCTTAGATAAATCTCTCACATTTAAAATTAGTCACAAGCGACACCAACAGGACCGTGAACGTCGTGTTGGTCACAGGTTCTCCCTTTTGTATTTTTTCCCTTGCATTTTCAGACTCTTCAACTTTTTTGTCCGTATATGCTAATGTGTGCATTGTGTCACCAATTGAAACTTTGCTTTGTATATTTCCAGGTTTTATTATGGAGCTGCCAGTAAAAAGCCAAATTTCAATGCCATCAAAAACACAAAGGACTTCATTAGAGTCGTGTCTCTGCACCTTTTTACCGGGGCCCTGACCTCCGATCGTCCCAAAGAGGATTCTGACAGACGGTGGATGGGACCTGCATAGTAACAACTGAGAAACAAAGCAGCACCTGCCTATAGACACGTCTTTCAAGTCTCATTATTTTGATCCTGTCCACGGTTATCGGACAGACAGGTGCCCTTTAAATGACCCGGAATATTTCTCCTTGATGAGGGAAACTACGACAGAAGTTTTGTGTCTGACAAAAGTTTCAGAACAGCAGCGAGCAACATGTTGGCTTTATTAGCAGCGGTTGCTTTGGAACCTCTAGAAACAAACGATATTTAACCCTAACCTAAAATAAACGCATTTAAATTGATAATAGATATGCTCTCCTACTAGAAATGCAATAATATTAATAATTCCTTAAACTGGTACTACCACATTAAAGGTTGGTTGAAATGAAGGCTTCCGACCAACACCAACACTTACGCCTAAAGACAGCCACACACTGCAGGATTTTTTGGTCTTAGATGATATTTAAACGTGCAACAAAAAGCACACACCACACAAGGAGAATCTTATGACTTAAAATCTCCAATCGCAAAGACTACAGGATATAAATTTGTGAGGGCAATCATGTTAGCTGTTTCCTGTCTACAGTAAAACCACTCGCTTTGAGACTCTGAAAGGGACAGTCCAGAATTTTGACCTCATTTCCTTGTGAGCCGGAGTGTTGGAGACGTGTGGAGACACTTTTTTAAATATTCCATCCAGTCTTTGTATTTGCAGAGGTCGCTGATGCTAGGCTAGTGCATGTCAATGGTTATAGTTATCCTGCCACTAAAAACAGTCTTACCCACTCCACAAAACACCCGAAACAAATCTATTATTACACCAGACTGTCGATATAAATGTCTGTGTCAAAAGAATAATTGTAGACGTAAAACCAGCATTGCATTTGAAGGATTTATGTCTGAGCAGCAGCAGCGAGTTGTACTTCCTGATAGAAAGGTTGACAGCGACGGACTGATATCACCTTAAAGTAAAATTCTGCTGCTGCTGAGAAACAAGTCTTGTGCGACGATTCATGCGATGCAAGGTTAGTTTTATTACGATTAAGATAGATGAGCATAGACTACTTTTTAAAATGCAGGTCAGGCAGCAGGTCGGGTACAATATTTATTTATAATTTTTTTTTTGCGGTTGGAGTTGCAGGTGGGTTCGTTGAAAAAGTCGGTCAGGTACGGGTCGTTTATACCTGGACCCGCGCATCACTGGTTGCTGTTGTCATGGTGCCCCCTTCAGAAAACACCATTATTTAAGCCTTGATTTATACTTAGTATCATGTGGATGTTTGTGTTGCAGCGTTCACTACATTTATCTAGCAAATTTGAAAAAAATATATTGGCTGTGTTTCTATTTTTGGTATAAGCTTACGAGCCAGCAAGTAAAGCTTGGCACGCCGCATGTGGCTCGAGAACCGCGCAATGAGTATCCCTGGTTTGACAGCGTTTTTGGGGCTTGAAAATGCAAAAAAACTGAAACCACCCTCCAGAGTGGAAAAGCTGAATACGCTCCGCCGCCGTAGCGTTTTCCCCAGACGCAAAACTCTGGTCAGATCTGCTCACGTCGTGAACGCGTTTACGTCACATACATACAGTACACAGAAACAAACATGTGGGATCATTTCCGTGCGTCTGACCTTCAAGCACCACCGAGCCGCCTGGCATGTACACCCATCAGATTCCACGCACTTTTGCCTCACTGTATGCACACAGATTTCCTCCTGAAAACACTCATCTAAACACGGAATAAAAAGTGAAGACGCAATGCCATTTTTGCGTCTTCTGTTCAGACCGTCATCATATAAACGCAGCCTCAGACACCGCGGGAAACCTGACACAGTAACATTTGTTTGGGTTCCGGGCAGTGCTGTGGTACCTGTTTTCCTGGGGCACGTCACCCTCATCCTCTGTGTGTGCAGGTTTATCGGGATGAACTCCAGTGACTTCTGAGCTTTGCAGCAGCTTGGCTTGAACGAACCTGGAAAACAAAAAACGAACATATAAATCAACAGCAGGTAAATGGGACTAAACACCTAAACTCCGCCCAAAAACACATTTCAAACAGAGCTGATAAACTGGGTGGTACCTGGAGGAATAAAGGGGGAGGGGCGGGGTCTGGAGGTGTAAAGGAGCCATGTGATTGGTCGAACAGGCATCAACAATTCAAACTCCGCCCCTTACAGCCAGGTGTTTTTTAAATCATGGTAGTCTTTTGTGATGTCACCAACTACTTGGAATCACAGACGCCACTGAAAACTGCCCACATTAGATTTAGATATTTATGACCAGAAAGCTGCAAATTTACCCAAAAACTTACTGTAGTTGCCAAAAAGAAACCAGAAGATAATACTAAAACACCATATGTACAGATTAGTAGCTGATTTTGTTTAAATCATTTGGTTTTTTGTTTATTAGAGAAGAAGAAAAGTGAGGAGGCAAGGAGACACATTTGTTTTGTTTTGTTTTCAGTTTGTCTGTTGTCTATTGTATTCTAGACAAAGAAAATATCTATAATTTGGAGCATCTTTATATTGTAAATTCTATTTATCAGATCAAGGAAAAATGTATTTACTTACCCAGTTGGCAAACTTAGTAGTAGTAGTAGTTGTATAAGTAGTTATTTGTAGTAGTGTATGATATGAATGTGTGTATACATTTATGGACTCTATTTTTGTGATTCTACTACTGCTACTACTACTACTACTACTACTACTACTACTACTACTACTACTACTACTACTACTACTGCTACTACTGCTACTACTGCTACTACTACTACTACTACTACTACTACTACTACTACTACTACTACTACTACTACTACTGCTACTACTGCTACTACTACTACTACTACTACTACTACTGCTACTACTACTACTACTACTACTACTACTGCTACTACTACTACTGCTACTACTACTACTACTACTACTACTGCTACTACTGCTACTACTACTACTACTACTACTACTACTGCTACTACTACTACTACTACTACTGCTACTACTACTACTACTACTACTACTACTACTGCCACTACTACTACTACTGCTACTACTGCTACTACTACTACTACTACTACTACTACTACTACTACTACTACTACTACTACTGCTACTACTACTACTACTACTGCCACTACTACTACTACTACTACTACTACTACTACTGCTACTACTACTACTACTACTGCTACTACTACTACTACTACTACTACTGCTACTACTACTACTACTACTACTACTACTACTACTTACTAACTACTACTACTACTACTACTACTACTACTACTACTACTACTACTACTACTACTACTACTACTACTACTGCTACTACTACTACTGCTACTACTACTACTACTACTACTACTACTACTACTACTACTACTACTGCTACTACTACTACTACTACTACTACTACTACTGCTACTACTACTACTACTACTACTGCTACTACTACTACTACTACTACTACTACTACTACTACTACTACTGCTACTACTACTTACTACTACTACTACTACTACTACTGCTACTACTACTACTACTACTACTGCTACTCTACTACTACTACTACTACTACTACTACTACTACTACTACTACTACTAACAATAGTACTAAAACTACTACTACTACTCTTACCACTACTACTACTACTGCTACTACTCTACTACTGCTACTACTGCTATTACTACTACTACTACTACCATTACTACTACTACTACTACTACTACTTCTTTTACCCCTATCGCTACTGCTACTACTACCACTACTACTCAGAAATATAGTATTTAATATTTGTATTTATTCTGACCAAACATAAATTTGCATAATATAAATGTATATATTTTTAAGCCAAATATCTACAGACATAAAACAAAAACTAAAGAAGAAGCAGTGGCTTGGATTCAAGCATAAATATTATAAACGAGAATAATTTTGGAACTGTTTAATCCTCAAAGTTGAGTAAACACTGAAAATGAAATGGTGACAGAGTTTCATAATCGTCTTCTCTTCTCTCAGTGATGGACACAAAATGAGCACACAGAGACTCTCCCAAAACACACAAGAGCTTCAGTGTTTTTCTGAAACATTTACCGAAGAGCAATTACAGTTCAATTAATTCAATTCAAATATTTAATACTCCGAATGTGGTTTGAAACATGTTCCTTCATACAAAAACTGCTTCCAGATGAACGTACTGTAAGAAGAATAACTGCATTGGTCTATTAGGTGTTGTTTTATTTCTCTTTTTACGTCTACGGGGTATTAACTACTAACACATAACATATTTAGATCACCAAGTTAACTTTTATTGTTTTAAAAATGCTTTATTCACCGAAAATAACATATTAACATGTTTTATAATTTTCACTCCCCGCAACACAATCAGCGTGCATCCCGCTAATGAAACTACTGCACATCGCATCAGGTTTGTCAAGTTGTTGTGTACAGTTTTGTATCGTGTTTTTGCATATTTATGGAGAATTGTCGTGTGGGAGCGTGGGTAACATAAGCTTGTGGGCGGAGCTTTTAAAAAAATTTTACAGCTAAATGTAAAGAGGGTGAGAATAGGGCCCAGGAGAGGTCGCTAAATGATTCAAACACGCATAAATGATGTCTGAAACCTCTTCAGGCATGTTTTTGATGAGAGAACAACATTATAACATGATAGGAAGCAAAAAAAAAAGAAAAGCAAAGTAGATTTTTTCACAACGGCCTGAAGCGCCGTGATGCAGGGTAAACATCACTTACGTTCATGCTTTTCTGTGGCAAAATATCTGTGGAAATGTCTCTACCAGCTTCATAAATCTGCCCCATCACCAAATTTTCATCCAACAAGGTCGACAAAGCATAAACATGAAGAATTTATCCACACCTATCAAGGTAAGAAAGACGAAAACTTAAAGGCGAACAACGACGACGCATTAGTGAACTACTCCTGAGAAAAAATAACGTTATGCTCATGAATAAAACGTAAGTAACTTGTTAACTCAGACTGATTCTACAATTAAAATTAGACATTTATTTCATGATGTAGATAACAAGTTACTTATGTTTTATTCATGTCCATAACATTAGTTTTGCTCAGTAGTTCACTAATGCGTCGTCGTTGTTCGCCTTTACGTTTTCGTCTTTCTTTCCTTGATCGTTGTGGATAAATTCTTCAAGGACAAAATATTTCCTTTGTTGGATGAAGATTTGATGATGGGGCAGATTTATGAAGCTGTTGGAAAATAGTTGAGATATTTTGCGATAGAAAAGTATTAACAGGAAGTTTACCCGACATCGCGGCATTTCCAGTCGTTGTGAAAAAGGTCTATACTCCCTCTTTAAAGATCCACTGTGTAACTTTTCCTGTGGAGGGTTTGTCAAACGCTTTAATCCATGAAGATGTTATTGCTTTGTCTAAAATGTTTCACAGTATGACAACAAACCTTTTCTACTTTAACGGAGACCAAACCAGACCAAGTTACAGGTCAGATCTGTGGAGAGGCGACCCCCGCTCAGTCAGAATGTCTGTTTTTGTGTATTGATGATATTTTTGAGCTATAAAACCAGCCGTATTTTAATAAATGTAAGGCAGAGCTGTTTAATGTCACACTGTGAAATATTCCATGCACAACAAAGACCCATACAAACAAGCAGACTAACAAAAAAGTTACACAGTGCACCTTTAATCTAGACAGAAAGCTCAAAAAACACATTTTTGCAGAAAGTATATGAAATAAGTTCCGTACCTAATACTAATTCTGAGGTCCCTTATGTTCAGTATCGGCGTAGAATACGAAGTAGTTTTCTGCAAATCACTGGTTTATCAAATCCTGTTTTTCTAAATAAATTATAGTTTTCCTTTGCTCAGAGCCACATTTTGACATTTGAAGGTGCGTCTCAAACCAAAATATGAAAATGGAGCCGATGAGAGGCTTTGAAATGAGCTGGAGCTTTCACGAATAATCAGGCAACAGGAGACAGCGAACACGTAGGTGGAGCTAATTCACTTTATACGACCCCGCGCCGGCGAGAAGGACACAATACTGATTTTGATTTGGTATTGTATGTTTTGTATACGCCCTAAAACAGGGGTGGGCAAACAACTTTGACGATACGATATCACGATATTTCAGTTATTGTTACATCCTTAGTACACAATGCGTTCAGTTTGCCAAATTCACCTAAATGTTCGATCTCTAGCAGTGTGATTCTGAAGTGCTGCACGTTTGCAAGTTTTCTCCCCGACAAAACCCACGATGTCGACGAAAAACACCTAAAAGGCCGAAGAAGATGCAAACCATCGCACAAAAAGTTGGACTTCTGGACACGCTGAAGGAAGGTAGAAGTTATACAGCTGTAGGCGCCATTACGGAATAAATTAATCTTCGGTTTACATAAAGAAGGAAGAAAATAACATAAGGACGACAGCAGCAATAAGTTTTAAGGAGGATGTAAAAAGAGTCTGAGAAAAGTGTATAAAGTGTGTGTTGAGGGGTTTTACAGCCTTAAAACAGATATAATAACTGTAAAAAATAAAACTGACTACTTCGCAGATTTTGCTTATTGTGGGTTATTTTTAGAACGTAATGCCCGTGATAAACGAGGGACCACTGTACTGCGTTGTGAGGCAGGAAAGCACATGGACAGTATTGTTTATGCATGTGCTAATGTTCACGGTGAGTCTGTTCTGGTCCATTATCGCATAAAAGAATCATAAGTACTTCAACTATGTTTAAACATGTACAGTGCAAAGTAGATCTTCATAATGTAATGAAGTGTTATCGTTGTTCCCACAAGCAGAGACCAGAGCTTCTTCACTCAGCTGCTTAGTTCTCAGTCCAACGAGGTTTACGTGGTCTTCCGATAGTTTATGTTATGAGGTTCTTTTTTTCAGACCAAGAGTTTGTTTTCATACCTGACAGTTTCGACTGATCACTGCGGTCTTCGTCAGAGTGGTCACGTGATGTTGCTGTGACGTGTCCG